GTCTGGACCAGACAATCCAGTGATCAACAGCATGAGCATCGATCTGCGCAATTCGGAACCGATGACATGTGTCAACCAAGTCAGCGAAACTGACCACCCGATCCCGTTAGTCGCCTCTTACGACAAGATAGTCGCCTTTTTATGGCAAGCACATGGGTTGCTGAAGACCTATTCTACCCCGGATCTTCACGGGTCTCCTGTAACGTGCCTTACAGTAATCAGAAATAAAGCCCCAGTTCATGGAAAACGTCCGGCATCACAAAAAAGCCAATCCAGTACATCACTGAGCTGATCTGGGGTAACTGTAAGAATTTATTTTCTCGCAATAATACCACATTAAAGCTTTCAGACGTTAAAGAGCTTGTGTATGCTTCTTTTGCGAGAATTACCCCAGAAGTGTGACAAAAGGCTGAAAATCTCAAAATCGAGACGAATACCGTCGGCGGGACGGCGTTAACGTCAGCCGAGTCCTCGACCAGCAGTGATACTGACACTTGATATTTTGAGACGGTCCCTGACTGCCCGAGTGTTACAGAACGCTGTTATCCTGTCTGCCTGCCAGGTGGGTCACAGTATAGTTTGTTTCTTTGAAGAGTTTCTCCCTTGATTTTTTAAAAAGTTTTTTTTAATATTTTACGAATAATCATTATGATTAGGGAATGGTACATCGTGATTACTCATATGCCATATTAGGTCGAGGTAGTATGAATGATTATATATGAGTTTTGAAGCTGAAATATCAACCATTATCACATAATTGCCAAAAAAGCATTTTCCAAGCATTTCTGGTCTTACTTAGGAACCTGTGGTAGTAACTCAAGGCAAGTTGATGAATCTCAGATTCAGGTGTGGAGCAACAAACACCCTGAGTGGTTTTGTTCATAATATCTTTGACTGGTTGTTTATGGTTTAGAGGCAGTTACGTACTTTCAGAATATTGTTGGAATATTAAGTGAGGTGTTAAACATACTGTGCAGAAATGCACGGAGTTAGAGGCATACTCTAGACACACTAAAGAATCGAGTTATATTGAGATCACAGTACCTAACCTGCGAACATCCGGCTTAGAAATTGTCTTAGACAACCAATGTTTGTCAAGAGAGTATGCAATGGGACTGATTTTCATCACATTGATGAACCCCACAAGCAATTGTATCGTGCTGACAAACTTAGAAATACATCATTAGTCAGACATTGGACGAACTTTCGGATGAACCTGAGGGACACAATTTTGACAAGCCAACTGTCGAACCTGTGGAGCTCTCTCTCAGATTTAGTAATCTGATACATTCTGTGGCTAGTTCCATATCAACAAGAAAATTTGGGAGGGTGGAGGGCGTCATACTAATTACTGGATAACACATTAACCGGGGTCAGCACCAAGGATACTCGGATGATACCTCAAGCAGAAAAACCAAAAAAGTAATTTTTCCACCAGATTGGCCCATGAGCCACCGCCTTCTGGCATAACATGATCAGGGCAATTTTCACAAATTTGAAAATCCATACATCACATAGTAGATATACAAAACAAAACATGTCAATTTTGGTACCAAATAAAACCAAGCCAAATAATATTAGAGCAATATGAAATTTGGAGTGCTCAGGGGCTCGGCATGACCAGCCGATTGGTTGAACCGGGCCAATTCAACCACCCGTCTAAGTCAGGGCCGAAGTGTGGTGTGTTGGGCAAAGGAACACTGTTCCTGGAACCAGTGCCCTCAACCACCAGAATCCCTTCCTCCACCGACACAGGGGCGCAAACTCCACGGCAAACGGGTTGGTGGACCAAAATATCCCCGGGTCCACAACAGGGGTTTGAAGGGCGCTTAGGTACACTCCAGCACCCACCACGAGGAGGTGGCCTTTCATGGGTGCCTATACCTTAATATGAAAATTAGTGTAATAAAAAATCACACTCAACCGATCGGATGTGGCTTCCCTCAGATTGTAAGGCACTAGTGTAACCATCAGGCAAAGGTAGGCGCCTGATCATCTTGCATGATGGTACCCGCAGCAGGGAATGATTGGGGTTGTGACTTTTGTTTTTGAGGCCAAGAAATCTGATGGTGATTACCGCTAGCGAAATGAACGGGCGGGTATATTTGGATTGGTTCGAACATAAGCTTTTACCGCCGCTGGGCGAACCAAGCGTTATCATATTCGATAACGCCAGTTACCATAACCTGCGTGTCCATGGTACCATCACACCCACCATGAGTAATCTCAAGGCTCAGTTGCAGGATTTCTTCACTTCCGTAACGTGAGTGAGTGAGTGAGTTGAGTTTTACGCCGCACTCACAGCAATATTCAGCTTTATGGCGGCGGTCTGTAAATAATCGAGTCTGGACCAGACAATCCAGTGATCAAAGCATGAGCATCGATCTGCGCAATTCGGAACCGATGACATATAGTCAACCAAGTCAGCGAAACTGACCACCGATCCCGTTAGTCGCCTCTACGACAAGATAGTCGCCTTTTTATGGCAAGCACATGCTGGGTTGCTGAAAGACCTATTCTACCCTCTCGATCTTCACGGGTCTCCTGTAAACGTGCCTTACAGTAATCAGAAATAAAGCCCCAGTTCATGGAAAAACGTCCGGCATCACAAAAAGCCAATCCAGTACATCACTGAGCTGATCTGGGGTAACTGTAAGCAATTTATTTGCTCGCAATAATACCACATTAAAGCTTTCAGACGTTAAAGAGCTTGTGTATGCTTCTTTGCGAGAATTACCCCAGAAGTGTGACAAAAGGCTGAAAACCATCTCAAAATCGAGACGAATACCGGTCTGCGGGACGGCATTAACGTCAGCCGAGTCCTCGACCAGCAGTGATACTGACACTTGATATTTTTGAGACGGTCCCTGACTGCCCGTGTGTTACATAACGCTGTCATCCTGTCTGCCTGCCAGGTGGGTCACAGTATAGTTTGTTTCTTTGAAGAGTTTCTCCCATGGATTCTTTTCTAAAGTTGTTTAATATTTTACGAGTAATCATTATGATTAGGGAATGGTACATCGTGATTACTCATATGCCATATTAGGTCGAAGTGGTATGAATGATTATATATGAGTTTTGAATCAGAAATATCAACCATTATCACATAATTGCCAAAAAGCATTTTCCAAGCATTTCTGGTCTTACTTAGGAACCTGTGGTAGTAACTCGAGGCAAGTTGATGTGAATCTCAGATTCAGGTGTGGAGCAACAAACACCCTGGTGGTTTTGTTCATAATATCTTTGACTGGTTGTTTTATGGTTTAGAGGCAGTTACTTACTTTTCAGAATATTGTTGGAATATTAAGGTGAGGTGTTAAACATACTGTGCAGAAATGCACGGAAATGTTAAGAGTTAAAGGCATACTCTAGACACACTAAAGAATCGAGTTATCTTGAGATCACAGTACCTAACCTGCGAACATCCGGCTTAGAAATTGTCTTAGACAACCAATGTTTGTCAAAGTATGCAATGGGACTGATTTTCATCACATTGATGAACCCCACAAGCAATTGTATCGTGCTGACAAACTTAGAAATACATCATTAGTCAGACATTGGACGAACTTTCGGATGAACCTGAGGGACACAATTTTGACAAGCCAACTGTCGAACCTGTGGAGCTCTCTCTCCAGATTTAGTAATCTGATACATTCTGTGGCTAGTTCCATATCAACAAGAATTTGGGAGGGTGGAGGGTGTCATACTAATTACTGGATAACACATTAACTGCTTCAGAGAGATACTAAAAGATAAAGACCCTTCCAGCATTTGGCTAGGACTATAGAGTGTCATCAAGGTATTTTCCTTGGTAGGCAACATGTTCTAATGTCTTCTCGGATAGCCATTTAAGATAGTTGCCAAAAAGTCGGATTTTCAAATATTTTCGGCATGACCACTGAAAATGAAAAAAATAACACATACATGTAATGTTCTGACCAAAATATGATGTCCTCATAAGCGTGAAAACACACACACACACACACACACACACAGAGGGAATTTTCATATAATAGGCCACTTTACCCTCATAAGTGCGAAACACACACACATACACACACATTGTTGATTGTCAAGAAGATGTAAATACAATTCACAGATGCACTTTCACCATACCTTCTTGGACGTTGACGGTATCTTGGTTTACATCGCAAAGCTACTTTAGGTGGGAGATGGTGGGTGGGGACTATTGTCGAGACAAAAAAGTATAAATATCCACAATTATATGTGAAAAACACCGACGTAAGAGAATGGTCCCGTGTATTGTCTATTTTCGTCATATCTTCCTTTATTTCTGCGCATAGAAGGAAATACTAAGGAAATACGTTTGGTATCCCTAGATTGCATGCATATACACAGTAGCATGCTTGTTTCCATTAGTTTTCTAAATCACATAATCATCATTCACAGATGCACTTTCATCATACTTTCTTGGACGTTGACGGTATCTTGGTTTGTTAAGTGTCTCTGAAGACATATTTTTATTGACATAAGCCAAATATCACACCTTGACAAGCACTATTTCATGGAATATACATGTCTGATGCTTTTAGAGATGATATAGACATAACGTCCCTTGAACAATATTTCGGTCATTCTAGATGTGTCATCCAATAGAGAGTGGGCTGACCATTTTGATTGACATAGAAAAAAAGACAAGTACAGCAAGAGAAAGACAGTGGGATTATGAAAGATCCCTATCTAGTCTGGATTTCAGTCTACCATTTGACCAATGAGAATGGTAGGCACATACCTTACCATTTGAATAGCTGCCGTGGTTTAAAGTTCAACATGGTGGCATCTGTGAGGTTCTGAGCATTTTACCACAAAGAATATTAAATAATATTTTATCAAATGTTTTTGTGAAAGAAATGATTTTTTAAAATTGTGAATTTCTGAAAACTCACACTTACCCGAAATGCCTTTATCTTCCTTCTTTCTAGTGTCTTCCTGAATGTACACAATATAAGTTCTGCCTTCTGCCTGATGCGCCCACAGTAGCAAAGTGCCGACACTGCAAGTCAATATGCCATCTTTATTACTTTATTATTGACGCTTGAAATAAAACGGTTAATTAGCTCGAAAGCTTTTGAAATTGAACAACAAATATCGAACAGTTTGTTACTCACACAAGTAATATTTAGTGAACAATTATCTTTTTGATAAACACATAACAATGAGAAACACAAAACAGTCTAAAACACGTTGCTTTGTATAATAATTATACGTACCTTCTTCACAGTTGATATAATTTCAGGATACTTTCTTAGTGCTGCTCCATGCACAGTCAGGGTTCCCAACTTTGATATAGCTTTCAAACACTGTGGCAAGTTCTGTAATGAAAGACTTCTCCTTGCGCTAATCCGTTTAAACATTTACGCAATGATGAAGTAGATCAATCACCATTCTAAAACATGGTTTAAGAACAATAGGTGAAATACAAACTTGCGTGAATAACAAGATATTTCAAAACTAAATTATGATAGTTCAACGCAAAACTATTCTTTTGTGCAAAATGTAATAGTATGATGCTTGAGGCCACTGCGTCTTGAACAAAGGAAACCTGGCGTAACTATTAAGTTAGTTTTTTTTATCGAACTATGTTTAGTTATTATCATTTAGTTTTATGCTCATTATCATTAAAATGTTGCTGAAAAAACTAAGATCACAATCAAACCTGTTTTCCCAATTGAAGAGAATTCCTAATTTCTTTGTCAATGCAGCTTAGCTTGATAACCGTTTGTTGCACTGAAATAAATTTTTATTGTTACATGGGTGTATTTCCAGTATATATACCTGCTCTCGATTCACAAAATCAGTTGCAACAATCTGAGTGTAACAGTGTGATGGATACTGATACAAACTACTGAAGTACCTTAACTGCTATGAAATCACAAGTTCACTTGCGTAAGAGTGAGTGAGTGAGTTTAGTTTTACGCCGTACTCAGCCATATTCATGCTGTATGGCGGCGGTTTGTAAATAATTGAGTCTGGACCAGACAATCCAGTGATTATCAGCGTGAACATTGATCTGCGCACAGAGGTACAGATACTGTGTATCTGCGTAAATTACGCAATTGTTTTTATTGGAAATCACAAGTTCTACTATTGCGTACAGAGCTTGAGTTTTGTGAGTACTCAGGTAAATGTGATCTTACATGCGTACTCACAAATATGTCAAATCTGTATGGCGGCGGTTTGTAAATAATTGAGTATATTGGCCTGGACCAGACAATCCAGTGATTATCAGCGTGAACATTTATAACAAACACTCTGCGCAATTGGGAAAATGGCCCCAATTGAGTTGTGTCAGGTACAATTTATTTGGTTACTCAAAGGAAAATTAGGATACGTGAGATGAACACAAGGAGTAACTCAATGACCCAAAAAGTTATCTGGCTCTGGCGCATTGGATGACATGTAATCAACAATGCTCAGTAGAGAAACAGCGTTGTGGATATTGGTACATGCTACACAAATACAGAGTACGGGCGCTTCGTGTCACATTTCAACTTGGCTGTTGTTGATATTTAAATGGAAATGGTATCTACACTCACACGAAAATAAACACCATAAACAACCACATAAACACTAACTACCTTTCCCACACCCACATCTACACAGACGCATCCATTAATACTTACAAACACAGAGGCATAGGCATACATGTACAACAAACACTCCCTTTAACAATAAACTTACGCTATACTAACCATACTACCATCAACACTGCACAACTAACAGCAATCCTCACTACACTCCACTTAATACCCTCTCTACAGCAAACACACTTCCTTATACTATCCAAATCACTCAGTTCTATTAGAGAAATACACTATATGCACTCCACATCACGTTCAGACATAATTCACAATATCACACTGCAAACCGACACACTTAAACAAAAATATACATTTGGACTGTAGTGTTACGGTAATGAATTTTAGCTGGAACTTGTATGAGTATTTTACGTTGGATTTACACCAAGTGAAACACCAAAGTGAATGTAGTAAATGAATCTTACGTGCACTAACGTTCTATATCTAATTCGACTGGGTCCATTGTAATTTTTGTATTAGATCACTGGAAACGTTTGTTTTGTTGTTTGAGATAGAATTACTCCTTTAGTCATTTATTGTGAATCATAGTGAACTTTGCACCTTCTTCAGTTAAGGTTGCCAAATCTTTTGTTTTCTTGTCAATTTGATCAACGGCTTCTTCTGCCTTGAGATTCCTGTTTTACCCGAGACACCAAACGATATTCTTAAAACAAATTATCTAATTTTACAGAACGTCCAGTACTTCCAGTTAAAATGTTTTCAGACAGCACCATAAATTTGTCAGAACTGGTGAGGATGTCATCAATACAGTAAAAAGAAATAAATGATTAGCAATTGAACGTGCAACGGTTATTTATATTTCTTCGAATTTCTTATCAAGCCAACAACAGTTTCCAAAGCCATAACTGCCATAATCCAAACCATACCACACAATCCTTTGTATCTAACCCTTGACCATAAGAATTCAAAGTTAATTACTGAAGCATTTCTCATTACTGACAGTTATATGATCCATATTAACAGTAGCCATTACTACTTTCAACATCTACATCACAGGTACAAGTGGCTAGATTGTATCAAACACGAAACTATATTTCAATACATATATCCGTTGAATATATATCAGTTGTATAGGCAGAATTAGCGAATCTAATTAATCGACTTATTTAATGAATTCCCGTCACACTTACACCACAAAAACTACATCTACAAATAATTTACCTTGACTGAGCAGAAACTGATCTTCCTTCTTGTCGGCGAGATATGGCGGTAAACAATGCCGTTCCGTGTAAGCGACACGTGTCGTTCGATCAATGCTTTTCACGAAGCGTGTGGGTGTGAGTGTGTGTAGGCGCTTGTGAAATTTTACATGCAACCGGGACAAGATACAGTTTCAACTAAAAATACATTTTCTAGCCTCGAAAGGGTCGCGGAAACCATTTTACTCAGTATCTCAACCGGGGACGTCCCCGGTTCCGTGTGTGTCCCCGGTTGAAGGGTGTGTATAGATACCAATGTCCTCGGTTGCTACCTTTAACAAACACACGCAAACACTGAATCTTCATATACTAATAATATAGCCCTCTTCCCGTTACTTCCTTGTCTAATCGACCTCATATCTAGACTGTTTCAGTTTACACAATATACTCCATACTTACATGCAACTCCAAGAAGATTATTCGTTATGTAAAATATCATAGAAGCAGTAACCATCCCGTTTCAAACAATCTCTTCTCAAACCGAAAATAGAACGCTTCTCTCTCAGATCAAGTGTTGACCTTATGATCTATAAATAGTGCTGACCTGAACGTTGAACAATGCGTACACGTCCTTATAGCTTGCCGTCAGCATTCCAATTTTAGACATGACAGCAAAATTGTAAAACGTTAGCTTTTGACTGTCAGATGCAAAGAAATCTCATTTGTATTAAATATTTAACACCCCATTTGAGGGGTGTTTTGAACTGACCATTCGCCATAAACCCTCTTTTATACCCTAAACTTAGTTTTTGTTCTCTGATATTTTTATTAGAACCTTTAATCATATGTCTTTACATTACAAATGTTCATATTAGCAACAATGGTATTTTTTACGCTTTTGTTGCATAAATCATTTCTTGCAGTGCATTTTTTTCGTTATTTCATTTATTTGCATATATTTTTTTGAAATGTCGCTTTTATTATTTTCTCCTAACTTCAAATATTTTCTGATCGCTTTTATCATAAAATGAAATAAAATTCGTTTGTTTAACGCCGCACTCGGTGAAGCCAGGACCAGACAATCCGGCGTTGATTGGACATGAGCAGTTGGTAAACGATAACTTGCATCAATTAGATCCCTGCCAGTCAGTCAAATGTATCATTTCATAACTACCCGTAGACGGTTGTGAGGGAAGGCCGGAGGTGTCGCGGGAATTTCACTTGAACCAAGCAGGAAAACAACGAGCAGCTTTGAACTTGACCTTTATATACTGTTATTAAAACATCTATGACATTCCTGGAGTGTTAAACAACAATTGATGGGAGAGTACACTTCCGAAGAGTTTAGCAGTATTCCAGACCTAACACAGAGGGACACCACCTGAGATTGGTCACATATTTTCTCCATGTTTGTTGGTTTACGAGGAACGGCTTAACCACCATAATCACGTGTTAATCAGTCTATCTGGTTGTATGGTTCGGTGCTGGTATATGACGTTTTCAATGATGAAAAGAACAACATACTTTAGACAGCGTTTTGAATCAAAAAGTGACCCCTTGAAATCCATGGTAGAATGGGTCTCAGGCACACATTGACCATAAATTTTGTCAGAACTGGTGAGGAGGATGTCATCAATACAGTAAAAAGAAATAAATGATTAGCAAATTGAACGTGCAACGATTATTTATATTTCTTCGAATTTCTAATCAAGCCAACAACAGTTTCCAAAGCCATAACTGACATAATCCAAACCATACCACACAATCCTTTGTATCTAACCCTTGACCATAAGAATTCAAAGTTAATTACTGAAGCATTTCTCATTACTGACAGTTATATGATCCATATTAACAGTAGCCATTACTACTTTCAACATCTACATCACAGGTACAAGTGGCTAGATTGTATCAAAACCAAGGAGCCCTACATTGCTGCTCGTAACTATATCTCAATACATATATCTGTTGAATGTTGTCCTTAGTAGAGGCAGACAAAAAGAGAAAAACATAATACACGACTTTTTTAATGAATTCCCGTCACCCTTACACATCAAAAACTACATCTACAAATAATTTACCTTGACTGAGCAAAAACATTCCTTCATGTCGGCGAGTCCATAGGGTAATCATTGCCGTTCCGTGTAAGCGGGGATACGTGTGTATAGACACGGCAGTTCGACCAATGTGTGTGTGTAGGCGCTTGTGAAATTTTACATGCGGCCGGGACAAGATACAGTTTCAACTACATTTTCTAGCCTTGAAAGGGTCGCGGAAACAATTTTTACTCAGTATCTCAACCGGGACGTCCCGGTTTCGTGTGTGTCCCCGGTTGAAGGGTGTGTATAGATACCAATGTCCTCCCCGGTTGCTACCTTTTAACACACACACAAACACACGGAATCTTCATATACTAATAATATAGCCCTCTTCCCGTTACTTCCTTGTCTAATCGACCTCATATCTAGACTGTTTCAGTTTACACACAATATACTCCATAATACTCATACATGCAACTCCAAGAAGATTATTCGTTATGTAAAAGCTATCATAGAAGCAGTAACCATCCCGTTTCAAACAATCTCTTCTCAAACCGAAAATAGAACGCTTCTCTCTCAGATCAAGTGTTGACCTTATGATCTATAAATAGTGCTGACCTGAACGTTGAACAATGCGTACACGTCCTTATAGCTTGCCGTCAGCATTCCAATTTTAGACATGACAGCAAAATTGTAAAACGTTAGCTTTTGACTGTCAGATGCAAAGAAATCTCATTTGTATTAAATATTTAACACCCCATTTGAGGGGTGTTTTGAACTGACCATTCGCCATAAACCCTCTTTTATACCCTAAACTTAGTTTTTGTTCTCTGATATTTTTATTAGAACCTTTAATCATATGTCTTTACATTACAAATGTTCATATTAGCAACAATGGTATTTTTTACGCTTTTGTTGCATAAATCATTTCTTGCAGTGCATTTTTTTCGTTATTTCATTTATTTGCATATATTTTTTTGAAATGTCGCTTTTATTATTTTCTCCTAACTTCAAATATTTTCTTGGATCGCTTTATCATAAAATGAAATAAAATTCGTTTGTTTAACGCCGCACTCGGTGTAGTCAGGACCAGACAATCCGGTGATTGACATGAGCAGTTGGTAAACGATAACTTGCATCAATTAGATCCTGTCAGTCAGTCAAATGTATCATTTCATATAACTACCCGTAGACGGTTGTGAGGGGAAGGCCGGGAGGTGTCGCGGGAATTTCACTTGAACCAAGCAGGAAACAACGAGCAGCTTTTGGAACTTGACCTCATTATATACTGGTTATTAAACATCTAGGACATTCCTGAGTGTTAAACAACAATTGATGGGAGAGTACACTTTTCCGAAGAGTTTAGCAGTATTCCAGACCTAACACAGAGAGGGACACCTCACCTGAGATTGGCTTCACATATTTTCTCCATGTTTGTTGGGTTTACGAGTGAACGGTTTAACCACATAATCACGTGTTAATCAGTTCATTCGGTTGTATGGTTCGGTGCTGGCATATGACGTTTTTCAATGATGAAAAGAACAACATACTTTGGTAGGACAGCGTTTTGAATCAAAAGTGACCCCTTGGAAATCCATGGTAGAATGGGTCTCAGGCACACATTGCTAGCTGTCAAGGCGAATACGTTCTACAACAGTCGATTGTGCCTCCTGTCGTTGGAGGACGGGAGTTCGTTGCCTTGTGGAACTGGGAACAAGGTTCCTTTCGTCCCAACACTCAACTTCGACCCTTATTGCAAGCACGGGTGGTAGAACTAAAAAAGTTCAATTATGACGCTGGTTATGTCGTACCTTAGCATGGAATACAAGGCTTGAGAAATGTTTCATAAATATAATTAACAGAGATATTTGACAATGACATTTGTAATTCAAAATCAATTGTATGTAACATGAGTCTAAAGCCAGGAGGCGGTGGCCAATAGGTCAGTGATTCGTGGCAACATTCTCAAGGGCCGAACCAGCCTCACACTTATTGTTGTCAGTCTGCTGGGTAATTTGTCACATTGTATTAGACGCTGAAGTCGTGTTGTAATAGTGAGTGAGATTAGTATTACGACGCAATATTCATGTTGTCTGTAAATAATCGAGCCTGGACCAGACAATCCAGTGATCAACAGCTTGAGCATCGATTTATGCAATGGGGATACGATGACATGTGTCTACTACGTCAGCGAGCCTGATCACCCGATCCAGAAAGTCGCAGGACACTGCAGTGGTTCTCTACTACTATTCTTATGACAAGCACGGGTTACTGAAGATCAATTCAAACCCTGATCGTCACAGGTCGCGTCGTAATATTGTCAGAAACAGAGCCTATTGCCTCTCACACATGTGGAGGAAAACATCTTGCTCTGCTTAACGCTGCCAAGCGTGTCACAAGAAACTACATTGAGAATAATTTTTTAAAACAAACATCCCAGCTAACACAAAACAGGCAATTAAAATTACATGCAATACAGCGATTACTATTCCCTTGCCTACACATGTTTATTTGTTATCATTTACTTGATGGTCAGTCAATGAATTTAAAACAAGGGTTCCCATTTAGCATTTCTCGTGTCTGGAGTAAATACTCAACATTATAAGTTAAGGCGTGATGTGGCAAATGTATTACATGTTAAGTAATATGCGCATATAGTGCAGCAAGAGGAATTATCAGCTGAGTTAAAACAAACAAATATCGAGCAAAGGATTAACCGATAGCACGCTGATTAATTAATTATTTTTATCTTGCACAATGGATTTGACAAATGGTAGTATATATGTATGTAGATATACTGAATACATCCTGTCGTAAAGTGCCTGTTTAAAAACAACGCCCTCCCTTCAAAGGATTAACCTGGAAATTTGGGTAATGTTGTGTTGCTTTTCTTGTTGCTCATGAGGCCGAACCGTAATGGATACGATCGCCACAATAGTGCATGCAGTCTATTTATCTCTAAAGTTCAGCAGTTAACAAAGTCGATGTCACAGTTCCACCAGTGGGACACGCAACACACCTAGTCCTTGGTCTAAAACAAGAACATTGCCTATCTTGTAGAATCTCTCAGCAGCAGTAACAGTGTCTGCCAAAAATCAGTAACTAGCCACAGAATGTCCAGGTTACTAACAACAAACAAGGTTTACCCCGCTGCTTGACTCATACAGCCCATGTCTAAGATATAAGGACGAAGGTTACAAGTGTCCAGATTGAGATATTACAGTATTAATTGCATGAAAATGATGCAAATTGTACATTTACTGCACATAAACCAACAAAGAGCAGGATTCAAAGCATGAACTTGAACATGGACATTGGAAAGTTATAAACCTTTGATATACACTGTGTAACTTACATATTACTTTATTACGGTCAAGAGAGCAGATATATATATATTTCCTTTGGATGACATTTTTAAAATAGCTCATATAACAATAAATGTGGTTCAGTCATCAGAGGAAACGGCAAAAAGCGACAATGCTTACCTATCAAGGTTTCAAGGTTTCAAGGTTCTTATTCTCCCCAAAATAAACATCAGCGGTCAGAGCATATAT